TCTCTTATGATCCTTTGTATTTCAGTGTTGTCTGTTGTGATCTCTCCATTTTCATTTCTAATTTTGTTGATTTCGTTCTTCTCCCTTTGTTTCTTAATGAGTCTTGCTAACGGTTTGTCAATTTTGTTTATCTTTTTAAAAAAAACCAGCTTTTAGCTTTGTTGATTTTTGCTATGGTCTCTTTTGTTTCTTTTTACATTTATTTCTGCCCTAATTTTAAAGATTTCTTTCCTTCTACTAACCCTGAGGTTCTTCATTTCTTCCTTCTCTAGTTGCTTTAGGTGAAGAGTTAGGTTATTTATTTGACTTTTTTCTTGTTTCTTGAGGTAAGCCTGTAATGCTATGAACATTCCCCTTAACACTGCTTTTATAGTGACAGGGCTGTATTTATCCTATGGAGGAAGCAGCCCCATTAAAACCCTCAGTGGGGCTGGATGTAATGCCAAATAACCTGTAGATCTACTAGATTTCTGATCATTCTGATTCACAGATATGCTTTATCACTATAGTAAGTTGATAAGCAAAATCATTTTATTCCCTGAAATACATTAAAAACATGGTAACAAAGAGGATAGGAAATCTAGTATCTGAACATGGTTTGCCATTTTTGCAAATAAAAGGAGCACCGCCCATCTGGATGCTAGTGTTGGGTTGTTATCTTTACACTTATAAACTCTGATCGACAAGAACTGAAACACTGGCTTATATTTATGAAATATCCTGGTGTTTAATTTGTGCAGCAAAGCAGTTATAGGGTCTATAGAAATGTGATCTGTGGATAGTGGGTCACATGAGTGAAAAGAGAATCAAATGCTTTAACCTTGACTCAACAAAGAGACTTCTCTAAAACATAAAATGATACCCAATAATCGGACAGATCTCTACCAGATCTTTGAACTCATGAATTCTACCAAATTCTAGCTGAACTGGAAGAGATACAGGTTTTCTCAGTGTATAATCAGAACACAAAGGAAATGAAGTGCTGTCAAGTTCCACAATCATCAGTTTTTAGTAGCTGTATTGTATCTCGGTTCCTTACAGATGCATATAACAAAATAAAATAATGTCAGGGCTTGTGAAGCCTTATCTCTGAACATATTTGGGCAAAAAAGGACTTCAAGTGTAACTCTTTTTACTCAAAGAAGAATGAGAAAAGTTTCATTTGCATCTTTAAAACAGAAAATGTATCATCTATCAGAGGCTGACTCATGTCACAAACTGGGTTGCTTAGACATATGATTCCAGATCTCTTTTATAAAACCTGACTGCAAGTGCATTTGTGGGTGCTGTAAACAAAGTTATCATGAGAGAGAATGAACTTCACACACACAAGAGAAAAGCACTAGGACACCTACCTTCATAGTAAGTGCACTTTCTTATTCTCTTGTTGCTAACATAACCTGCTACCCCCAAAACAGCTCTGCACATGAAATGCTATATATTTAAATGTCACTTAAGGAGAAAAATAAACCCTCCAAGAATGCTTGTGCCCACTGGCTGAAATATGAGGCTATTTCCATTGTAATGGAAGCACTTTAAAAAAAAAAAGCCTTTGGTGGGAGTGGGGGGTTGGTTAATTGCATATCATCACCCTCCTCCATTTTATTAAACTAGACATATTTTGTGATTATATATTTAAGTACTCTTTTGGTGAAACTAAAAACAGTTAAAGGGACAAAAGAAAATTCATTTCATTTTCTACTGCTTAATATTCTTTCTAAAATCATCTGGTTCTTTTCTCCATAACCCTTCTCAATACAATTTTTTATAAAGAAAATATTATTTTTAGCAACTTTTAACTGAAAAGGACTTTGTTTCATGGTCTGAAATACCTGAATACTGCAAAGGATATTCAGCAGTTGGGGACCCCTGATTTAGAGTCTCTAAAGTAACCTAGAAGAACTATAGGTATATTTGTTTTGTTATTGGGAGGCTAGGTTTCTACCTGGAGAAAGCAATGGCACCCCACTCCAGTACTCTTGCCTGGAAAATCCCATGGACAGAGGAGCCTGGTAGGCTGCAGTCCATGGGGTCGCTAAGAGTCGGACATGACTGAGCAACTTCACTTTCACTTTTCACTTTCATGCACTAGAGAATGAAATGGCAACCCACTCCACTGTTCTTGCCTGGAGAAGCCCAGGGACAGGCGAGCCTGGTGGGCTGCCGTCTATGGAGTCACACAGAGTCGAACACGACTGAAATGACTTAGCAGCAGCAGCAGCAGCAGGTTTTTACCTACAGCCTTTTACAAAATGATCCCATTTTTATACCGTAAAACGCTCTATATTCTCAAGACACTTAAGAATGTGCTCTCTCATCTGATCCCTGTGATGAGTGTGAAGAAGACAGCAGGGTTGTAATCCTGCTCTACACATAGGTGAGGACCTGAGGCTCAGAGACCCTGGGGGACACAGGGCCACACGGATGCTAAGTGCCTCCTCCATCTATCCAATTGGACCAGGCTCCTAGAGCTAGGATATGAGAATTTTATAACTTCTGAGCTGTATTAGGTGATTTCACGAATAGACAAAATGACACCTCTGTTACACACTGGGAACAAAGAAACTTCAAAAAACCTTAACCAGGTCTGCTTCATCACAGAACAGAATGGATGACAGGCATTCATTCTTTGAGCTGAACTGTGTCCCCTCCAATTTTACGTGTTGAAGTCCTAAACACCATAGTACCTCAGAATGTGACTGTTTGGAGTTAGTGTCTTTAAAGAGACAATAAAGTTAAAATGAAGTCATACAGGTGGGTCCTAATCTAACAGACCTGAGTTCTCATAAGAAAAGATCAGGACGCAGGCTCACACAGAGGGAAGAGCATGTGAGACACAGAGGGAAGATGGTGTCTACATGACAAGGAGAGAGACCTCAGAGGAAACCAACCCTGCTGACACCTTGACCTCAGACTTCCAACTTCCAGGACTGTGAGGATATAAGTTTCTGCTGTTTAAGTTGCCTACTCTTTGGTTTTTGTATGGTAGCCCTAGCAAACTACTGCCCCCTTTAGCTATATGTATCTAAAAAGTACTTTCTCTACTATTTCAAGGATCATCCAAAAGGGTCAATCAGACAGTGATCAACTTACCTGAGCTGCAAGTTCAAGAAAATGTGATGTGGAGGCACCTTCTCCCAGATGTTGGGTTTTCTTTTCAGATGAATGAATTCTGTTCTATTAGAGTGAAAACCTTGTGACTTAGGTTAATCCTCCCAGTGTTATAGCTCTGAGCAATACATTGATATCTGATGTTTGCACAATACAAAAACTGATAATCTGACAGTTTATCCTCATAAGAGGATGCAGAGTAAGCAGAGGTAATGTCAAGATTGGATCAGAATTAAGAAATGCATTTCTTTCTGTAGAGATGACCTGAGCCAGATGCAGGACTGAAATCCAAGAGTGAGGTTCTGCCACCCTGTGAACTTCGGTGACTGGCCCTACCTTGGCTACCACATGACAGGAGCAGTGTTCTCAGGCTCAACACAGAACGCAGTACCTAGGACAGCACCCAGCCTCCCTCAGCAATTCCCTCCCTGTGCTCCCTGGACCAGCTCTGTGACCTTGGGTGAGCCCTGGACCCACTCTCCTCATCCATGACATGGGATAAAAATGGGCCATCATGAGATTACGTGAAATCATACATGTGAGAACTGTATAAAATAAATTATACAGAACTACACAAATGTAACTTACTATTGTTACAGTAGGTACAGGATTACGAGACCTGGAATTACAAAATTTCTAATTCTATGACCTATGTCTGCTTCAGTATGTATCTAACACTTGATTTAAAATATTTACTAAAAGACCAAATTTCTAATTATGTGTCTGCTGCAAATTAGCTTAACACCAGTTATATACATAGGACCACCTTCCTTCTAAAGCACCTTAGTTTCCTCATCTGTACAAAGAGAGGGTTGAATCCTATTATCTTATTATCTGGACCAATCTAAAATTCTGTGTTCTATTTCTCATTACTCAATGCCATGATAACATAGTGTTAAAATGAAGACTTTGACATATAGGTGGGAACACCTCTTTTTGATGTGAAATGCCTAAGGTTGAAAGAGAAAAAGGAGTTGGGAGATTCCTGGCTCTCTAGGTCTCAGGATGGATAGTCTGACTGGGAGACACTCTAGTGGATAAAAGCACTCTGTGAATTTCAGGCATAAAAAAATACAGAGCTTCTTGTTCAGCTTCTCAACATTTGCACACAATGTAAGTACTTATGAAAAGTTCAGAAGACAGACTTCCTTGTCCCTAAATCTAAGCATGAACTCTAACTCTGCCAACTTTTCAGCCATCTCTGGGACCCAGGAAGTCTCCTACCCGATGAGCAATGGAAGGTCCTGCTCTGCATTTCCTCATTTCTACAGAGGATTGAGAGGAGACAGTGATGAACTCAGGCCATGTTTTAGATAAATCTTTCATATACAAGTACTTAAGATACTGGGACATGTTTTCTTTCTTTCTTTTTTTTTTTCATTCTGTGTTTATTTAACATTTCATCCAGTTGAAATGAAATAATACATGGGCTCCAACACTGACCAGACACTTGCTAATACTGAAATAAAAGCTGCCAATCAGTTCATACTTATAATCATAATTCATTATGTTACCCAAAATACTAATAACTATTTACCTTTACAAGCTTATTGCACTTCATGTGACCTTTTCTCCAGAAAAGATAATCCTAAGAGATCAGCAAACTGCCAGTCTTGGTTCATTTTGTTCCTTTTGATAAACCATGATTCAACTCTACAATTCATATTTCTCTATAAAGCATCAAAAATCAGAAGCTTCAATAGATAACATTTAAAGAGACACATCTGGAGGCTCATTATCCCTTTTGTCATGAGGCTCTCTGGTCATCTCATTCTGGTACGCATTAAACTTCTGGTTAGTCAATCTTCCAACCAGTCACTCATTTTTCAATGACGGTTAAGACTAACATGGAGCTGCCAATTATCCAGGGCTAGGAATTCTGAGGTTAGCTGGGGGCGGGAGGCCGGGGGGCGGGAGGGTTCAAGGTCTTGAAAGTGAAAGTGAAGTCGCTCAGTCGTGTCTGACTCTCTGCGACCCCATGCACTGTAGCTTGCCAGGCTCCTCCGTCCATGGGATTTTCCAGGCAAGAATTGGGACATGTTTTCTTTACGACATTTTAAATATTACACAAAGAATCTTATTCTATTTACAAGTGAAAATCTGGGAAAGGCAGAAAAGTATGAAGAATGGAAAATACACCCATAATTTAACACCCAGAGATAAATTTTTGATGGGGAAGCCACATGCCACCCTGAGTCACACATGTTAAGGGGCAAGAACACCAGACCTTCCTTCCCTCCCTCTGTCTTCCCATCAACCCCAATCCCACTCTCATCTTGTCCCAGAAAGACTTACAGATGGCTGCATGACAGTGGCTACGTCTCCTAAACCAGACCTTGGTCACCACCTCACCTCTGTTAGGAAGACACCATGTGACCCGAATGTTCCTCACTGAGCCCCTTCCTCACACCACACACAGTGCTTAGCGCCTCCCACACCTCATCTCTGAGAAAGTGCTCTGCGACCTTCAGCACCACTCAGACTACAGTGTGAAGGTGTTGTGAGTTCCTGATTTGTCCTGATGACAATTTCATCTTCTAGAAGGCAGAGGAAGCATGGGAGGGGGGCGGGGAATGGACCTAATTCTAAACAAGAAAGAATTAGGGAAAATAATGATAATTTCAGGGAAGAATTTTCCTTACAGATTAGGAAACAGAGGAGACCTACACCTTTCTCTGGAAGAGCTTCCTAGAATCAAAATATTCCAAGTTTTTTCCCCTTAAGCTCTCAAATTTCCTGGATATTGCTTGACAGAATTGGTATCACAAATGTGCTGAGTACCAATCAGAATCAATGTAAAGGGTCTTCAAAATGAGAGTGTTCAGTGCTCCATGAGAATCTCAACCCAGAGTCCGAACATGTGAAAAGACAAATCCAAAATCTCTGTCTCAGGCACAAGTGTGTGCACACAGAAGGGTGCACACATCCTGACATCACCCCCATCACTGCTGCAGATTCTCAGCAGACCTGCCTTCCACCTGCCACATGATGTCACGACCCAGTCATGAAGCTTCCTCTCTGGTGGCTTCTAATTGAAAAGAGCACAGAGTGCTTGTTCCCAGACCCTTGGTGGAGATCTTGTGAAGAGTGAACCCTGGAGGTGAATTTTAATTACAGCTTTCTGCAGCAGGCTCACCTTTTGCCCTTTTGGTGAGGACAGCAACCTCCGCCTCACCCAGCTGTTGCACCATCTGGTAAAATGGGCTGCTTCTATCTCGCAGCAAATTATATGGCCAAGTATCTTCTATCTGTGTCCCTGAATCCAAAACCTGTTAACAGCAGAAAGAAACCCATTAGCACACAGTATCTCCCAGTAACATAAGTCAGACAATATTTCAAAAAGGGGCAGGTCAGGGAGTATTTGGGTAGTAGGACTGGTGGTATTTAAGTTGTTTGATTACTCTGTTTTACTAGGCAGACAAAGGCCTAGCCCAGCCTTTCATTATTATATGGTTATAGGAAAGGAAGAAAACTAAAATTTTAGAATATGATTACTGGAACAGAATAGTCTATAGCATTTTACATTCTGCCCAGGGCATTTGAGGTTGTTACCATTAGTGAGTGCATTTAGCTCTCAGACTCTGACATTTGAGGGCTATTTACAGATACACGGAGTTGGGAAATGTCTTGATTCAAGAAAATCAGACTACATTTATCTAAAAAGTAGGTTGACATCTTACAAACCACATGGCAGTGTCCTGACAACAAATTAATTGTCAAGTTGATTTGACAATCTGAGCAATATTTGGGGAGGGGGAATTAAATGCTTCCAGAAGTTCTTTAGGGCCCTGGATTATGTCAGCCCCTACTGGGAGGACTAACGCTGAAGCTGAAGCTCGATTACTTTGGCCACCTAATGGGAAGAGCTGACTCACTGTAAAAGACCCTGATGCCGGGAAAGCTTGAAGATAGGAGGAGAGGGGGATGACAGAGGATGACGTGGCTGGATGGCATCACCAATTCAATGGACATGAGTTTGAGCAAATTCCAGTAAGTAGTGAAGGACAAGAAAGTCTGGAGTGCTGCAGCTCATGAGGTTGCAAAGAGTTGGAAACCAAGAGACTGAGCGGCTGAACAACAACAAGAGGGGCAGAATCCTTGTCCAAGAGGTTAAGATGCTTCTTGAAGTTGGTTGTGGCTGTAGTTTATTGTTATGAGAGTGGAAGGCTGGCAAAAAGAGCGGCTATATAAGCAGCTTTTGCAGAACTGCTCTGCACAGAAGGAATTTCTAGAAATCCAGTTTTCTTTTTGGATAAGACTATAAAAGCAAATAAACTGAGCTCCAAATTGAAGTGATCACAGCCTGCACAGCACATGGGGCAACCCAACCTGAACTGCCTAAAGTCTTAGTCTGTTTTCACAAATTACCTTTATCTGCACCTTTCTCTTTCTTTCTTAAACTGCCCGCTTTCACTCCTTTTATTGCTCATTAACAAACCTGGAAATTGGAAATTTCCTAACTGTAAATTGAAAGGGAGAGGAAGGGGCTCCTAACTCTGCCTTTCTACTCTTGAGTGACCTTGGTTAATGGTTATAGAGGGGGGAAAGTACCTGAAACAACTGACCCAAATAACAGAACTACAAAAACAGTTCTGATATTAAGTGGGATTTAATTCTTCATTTAGGTCATATTTAGAGTAAATGTACCTAAAGAGAATATGTGGTATGGGCTTACGGTGGCTCAGTGTAAAAGAATCTGCCTGTCAATGCAGGAGACCCAGGTTTGCTCCCTGGTCCGGGAAGACCCCACGGGCTGTGGAGCAAGTAAGTTCATGCACCGCAACTACCCAGCCCACGCGTCACAGCTCCCGAAGCCTGAGCGCCCCGCGCCTGCGCAAACCACAGACGCTCTGCGAGGAGAAGGCTGCGCGTCTGCCGCAACCACAGGAAAGCCCACACGGCGACGGAGACCCAGCACGGCCAGAAATAAACTAATAAAATTATTTTTTAAAAAAAGAAGAGAATATGCTGGAACTTTAAACAAGACACAAGTTATTTTTTCCATACGTAGGTACTGCAGTTAACTTCATCCTTTTTATTTAATTGGAAACATTTTTTAAGTCTCACAAAGGGCATATTCCTATTAATCTTTCATTAATACTGTGAATCATTGTTAAGATCAACTTCCTCAAAAGAGTCCAAGAATAATTGAATGTCTCATCCACATAATGGATTTTCTATATGCCACTTGGGCATGCCAATTTAGATGCCCTGAATGTGCAATTTTACTTAAGCATAGCATAGATAGAACATAACTGCTCCTCCTGATGTGAAGAAGAAAAACTGCAGTTTTAAAACACAGGTCTCCAAATATCTATGTTCAATTAATCTATGAAAGATTAGGTAAGAAAATATATTGAAGAAAAGACAGTCTCTTTGCTAGATAGTACTTGGAAAGCTGCATACATGGAAATGAATGAAATTAGAATACTCCCTCATATCACACATAAAAATAAACTCAAAATAATTTAAAGACCTAAGATAAGACTGGGTACTATAAAGCAAAAGGAAAACACAGGCAGAAAACTCTTTGACATAAATCACAGCAATATTTTCTTAGATCAGTCTCCCAAAGCAAAAGAAAACAAAGCAAAAATAAGCTGGATCTAATTAAACTTAAAAGGCAAGACTCACATTAGGGGCTACAAGAGCTAAGATGGGACATAGACTGAAAAATGGCTGGAAACAGAATTTTAGCAACTTAGCTTTTACATTTACTGGCTTGATCAAAGATTCTAGATATTTCAGAACAAATAAACATAAAGCAAATCTAAATTCTCTTTATGTACAGAAAAATAGGTATAGTTTAAGATTTTTAACGTCCCTTATAAGGATAACGTTGTATAATTTCCCACTATGTCCCCACCCTTTCTGTAACACAAGTTAAACTATAAATTAAATCACACATTCAAATTAGTGTGATAATAATCCCTGAACCCCAGGATCTCTCCAGAACCCCAACCTTGAATTACTTGTCAAGCTCTAATAGGTTAAGTAAAAACACATTATGTTGGACAAGAAGTGAGTTACATAAGCTCAATGAAGACATGTTTATCAAACCTGTTTATGTGTAGATATTCCTGGTAGCTGTCTAGACATAAAAATTAAATCGACCCATTGCAAAATAACTTGATCCATTTCATTGGCAAGATGCAATCAGTGAAAAAGAGGAATTCAAGGAGAGGTGGGCGAGTGCACGGACAAGATGGGGGCAGGAGATGATGGAGTTAAAGCCTGATAAATGATGACAACAACAGAGATAGAGCCCCACTTATCGGCAAGTAGAGTTGCAAGGGGAAGATCCGTGTCATATCTGTTTCTGGTTGCCAGGTGATGACACAGGGACAGCAGTCCAAACTTGCATAGAGGGTCCCTCATTGGTAAAATAGGTACCTGTGATTTTCTCAGTGACTGGGCAACATGGCAAGTATTAACTCAAAATCCTTTCTTAGATCTTGAAATAATAAATTAGTCTCTCACCAGGGGGATGATGAAGGCTGGCTCACGGTCACCTCCACAGTCACTTTCCCAAATCTGCTGCCTTTGCACATAAGCACTCAGTATCTCTTCTCCCCATCTGTGCTTTCTACCTCTGTATTAGTTATTTTCCTTTGAAAACTTCAGTGAAATCTTTTGGAGTTTTTGAAGTTTTCGTTTCTGAAATATTCTAATTACAGCCATGTAGGGATGGGGAAGCCTGGTGGGCTGCCGTCTACGGGGTCGCACAGAGTCGGACAGGACTGAAGTGACTAAGCAGCAGCAGCAGCAGCAGGCTTCTGGAAGAAATGTTCCATGAAGGTGAAAAACAGAAATTAAGTAAAGCTCTAGTTAGGCATAGGCTGTTTTGTGCTTTCAAAGTGGGGATGTTACAACAGTTTCTGGTTTTGATTTCTCTGAGGAAAATTCTACTAAGAAGAGGTTTATGTTGAGGAAGAAATAAAAAACATAAAATCATAAGATCGACTATAAACAAAAGAGGTGGAATCTGAGTTTCCTATCCCTGGTTTTGGTTCTTCATCATTCATTTCCAAAGAATTCTCTAACTGCAGACAGTGAAAATGTTGACCATAGACAAGTGCAATTGATTAATTAAATTACATTATTTATACATTATACAAATTAATAAATTAATTAAATTACATTAAAACAAAAATTAATTAATTAAAAAAAATAATGCAAGTGCAGATTGTCACATGCTTCTTTGTTCACGCTTCCAGGGAGAATTTGGGTGATATGAAGACTGTAGTGTGCAGGAATTGGAGGCAACAGCTGTACTATTGGCTGCAGAGAAAGCAGGTCACAAGAACCCAGCTAATCCTAAAATCCATAGGAAGAACCCTCTAATGTAGAGACAGTGGTGAGTCTTAGGAGAAAACAGATTTCTAATTTGTCTGTCATGCTACACTATTTTGGAGCAAACGAGGAAGATTAACTTAGTTGCTGTTATGCCTTTTACGCCTAATCATAACTTTGATGCTGTTATGACATCTTTCAGTTCAGTTCAGTTCAGTCACTCAGTCATGTCGGACTCTTTGCGACCCCATGAATCGCTGCACGCCAGTCCTCCCTGTCTATCACCAACTCCTGGAGTTTACTCAAACTCATGTCCATCGAGTTGGTGATGCCATCCAGCCATCTCATCCTCTGTCATCCCCTTCTCCTCCTGCTCCCAATCCCTCCCAGCATCAGGGTCTTTTCCAATGAGTCAACTCTTCGTATGAGGTGGCCGAAGTATTGAAGTTTCAGCTTTAGCATCAGTCCTTTCTGGAGTTTACTCAAACTCATGTCCATCGAGTTGGTGATGCCATCCAGCCATCTCATCCTCTGTCATCCCCTTCTCCTCCTGCACCCGATCCTTCCCAACATCAGAGTCTTCTGCAATGAGTCAGCTCTTCGCATGATGTGGCTAAAGTCTTGGAGTTTAAGCTTCAACATCGTCCTTCCAATGAACACCCAGGACTAATCTTTAGGATGGACTCGTTGGATCTCCTTGTAGCTCAAGGAAGCTTCAAGAGTCTTCTCCAACACCACAGTTCAAAAGCATCAATTCTTCGGTGCTCAGGTTTCTTCACAGTCCAACTCTCACATGCATACATGACAAGATACTTAAAATTAAGATAATTTATTTGTAAAATAAAATTCTTGCACTGACAGGACTTTATGGTGACATCACTGTTGGTTATGCCGACATCACTGTTGGTTATGCCCTTCGTCAGCTCTGTCACTTCCCCAAGCCCCTCCCCCAGGCTGGCAGCCTGCCTTGTGAAGCATCAGGCTTTGCAGCAGATTGACTTTTCTTTATTTCCTTAAAGCTTTCAGAACAGACAATCATTTGCTTTCCAGAAAGGAACTGGTATAGGCATCTCTCAGAGCTATTGTGGGTTCAGTTTCAGAACACCAGAATATAGTGAATATTGCTGTAATGTGCATCACAGGAAGTTTCTGGTTTTCCGGGGCATATAGAAGTTATGTTTACACTATACTATACCCAAGCATGAGTGCAATAGCATTATATCTGAAAAGAAAAACACAATGTACAGACTTTAACTTAAAAATAAGGTACTACTAAAAAATATTAACCATCATCAGAGACTTCAGTAAGTCATAGTAGTAATATCAAAGATCATTGATGTTACAGATCACCAAAGCAACTGCAATGATAGTGAAAATGTTTGATATATTGTGAGAAATTACCAAAAGGTGACACAGAGACATGGAAGAAGCAGATGCTGATGGAAAAATGGTGCCTATAGATTTGCTCGATGCAGGTTTATGACAAGCTCTCAATTTGTAAAAAACGCAGTATCTGGGAAGCACAATAAAACAAGGTATGTCTATAGTTCTAAAGCAAGCAATAAAAATAAGATTGACTCAAAAATTGAAGGTTTGAGAAAGAACATTATTTGTGACGTTTTTGCTGAATTGAAAGCCGACTGGTAATCAGAACCTCTAGAATAACATACAAGTTTTACACCTGGGGTGAATGGAGCACAGAGGATGATCCCCAACCCTGAATCTGGGGGATGCCTGTCTCTTGGTGCCCTGAGGTCTAATCCTGTTATTCCTAACAGAGGAGTCAGCAACCACAACCAGCTCAGACCGAGATGTAAACACGGGGCCAAGCTTACATCTCCTGGTGGGACCTCCCCATGATATCACTGGTGACCTCAACCAAGGAACCTTACACTGAAGGTCTCCCAACACAGGAGTGGGAAGAGCAGCTCCACAGTGAATGGTAAGGTCCTTTCCTGGAAACAAGGTCATTCATCACAAAGGTGATAGGCTCCAAACAGAACCCTTGCATTTCCCTTCTCCTTCCATCTTACCCATTCACTTAGTTGCTCAGTCTCTGCATCCAGAAACCAGCATCAACTTATTTCTCTGCCCTCAGATCCCATATGCAATCCATCACGCAGTCCACCTGGCTCCACTTCCTTATCTACCCCAAGTCCCACCATCTCACCATGTCCACTGCAGGCACCTTATAAGCCAACAGTCTAGAGAGGGCGCATTGTAAGACAGTGAACACTGAATCTGGAGGACTGAGAGACCGTCAGTGTGGTTTCAGCTGTAAAGGAAGGCGGGAGAGCAGAGTGGGACAGAACTAGACAGTTGGGGAGGGACGGGCAGTGCACTGCTTCATATCTACTTTAAAGATTTGTTCACAGACATTGACCAAGAGAGAAAAATCTGAGGTTATAGAAATTGACCAGGAGATATTGGTAAGTAAAAGACGCTTGCTCCTTGGAAGAAAAGTTATTACAAACCTAGACAGTGTATTAAAAAGTAGAGACACTGCTTTGCTGACAAAGGCCCATATAGTCCAAGCTATGGCTTTTCCAGAAGTCATGTATGGATGTGAGAGTTGGACCATAAAGAAGGCTGAGTGCCGGCCAAAGAATTGATGCTTTTGAAATGTGGTGCTGGAGAAGACTCTTGAGAGTCCCCTGGACTGCAGGAGATCAAACCAGTCAATCCCAAAGGAAATAAACCCTGAATACTCATTGGAAAGACTGATGCTGCAGCTGAAGCCCCAATACTTTGGCCACCTGATGTGAAGAGTCGACTCACTGCAAAAGACCCTGATGCTGGGAAAGATTGAGGGCAGGAGGAGAAGGGGACAACAGAGGGTGAGATGGTTTGATGGCATCACCGACTCAAAGGACATGAGTTTGGGTAATCTCTGGGAGATAGTGAAGGACAGGGAAGCCTGGCATGCTGCAGTCCATGGGGTCACAAAGGTGACTGACTGAACAACAAATCAGTAAGTAAAGCATTAAAAAAATGAACGCATTTTGATAATACCAACAAAGCTGACTGGTTCAGAGGATATAGATGTTCACATCTGCAGATCAGATGCTGAGTAATAACACTTTAGGACTGACCAGGCGACATGTCCTCCAAATTCTGTCCTTCTTCAGTTTCCCTAACCAACCACACATTTCAAGCTGACAGTATTTCTAAGAATTAGATTACAAAAAGAATCTGCTACCATGAATGTCATTAATGCTATAATACCAAAAATCAAAAATAAATCTTCAGGGTACATTTAGGAACAAAGAATCTAACTGAACAGACCCTTAACTGAGCTGGAGATCAAGTCACCTTTCTGCTGCTATGTCTAAAGCCTTACAAAGGGCTTGAAACAGCTACCTTTCACAGCATTATTTATTTATTATGGAAAGATGGTGCTTTGGGGGACAGTCTTTGAAATACAATGTTGAGAGGTAAGAACAATAAAGTGACAGGTAAAAACTAGAAATAAAAGCTTACTTTTCCAATTAGCATTTAAGAACACAAAAAGAAGGACTAAAGATGCCTGACACAAAACATTTCTAGAAATTAAGAGTCACTGTTGGACAATCTTGAATGCCACCCCATCTCTCATGAAAGTCTGCAGGTAGACCCTGCTTCCTACTGTGATGTCTAGTCCAGGTGACCAGACACACTGCTTGGAGCCTAGAGCATCCCTTTGGTTGGGGATGCCCCACTCCTGTCATTTGCCTCCCCAGAGCTCACTCTTGTGCACGCCCAGCTTGGGGAGTGAGGCTACAGGCACTGCCTCAATGCTGACAGCCTGGTATCTACTCAGTGCCCCACTGATGATCCCATCTGACAATGCATGTGAAGTAGGACAGGAGGTGATATTCCAGAAGCTGCCCAAGAAATCAAAAGAGATGGTAATATTACCCTTAGAAATAAGGAACTGTGGGTATTACTGACCACTCAGTAGTGACTATTTCCTGTTTTGTATGGACCATCAAAATACCCTAAAGTATCTTGCATTCCTTGAGATTATTTGCTGCCAAAGTTTTTCCTTTGAGGAATGCTTTTCTTGTTTTATAAAGCCACATCCTAACATTTATTGAAACTGAGCAAGCAACAGAGGGAAAGGATAAGGAAAGAGATAAAATGAAAAAGAGAGAGAAAAGGCATAGATGGAGGAAGGAAATGAAGCTAAGGAAGGAAGTATTAAATTACTAAGGAAGAAAGAGCCAACCAAATCTGGAAGGAAGATACTAGACAGATATCCAGAGACCAAAGCCTGGAGCCTGCTGTGTGTACAAAACAGAAATATTGTGTAAGAGACTTGCTGGTTGTTTATTTAATCTCTCATCCCTGATTTGCCTTTCTTTTCAAACTCTCATCTGTGATGCAGAAGCTGGGTCTCTGCAAGTCACTGCAAGAGTTCAGAGACTCTTTGGCCAGGTGGCCTTTGTTAGGTTCTGCCAGTAGGGGGCACTAGAGGGAGACTGAAGGTGGGAAACTCAACTAATGTTCTACCTGATTCTGCTACTAGCATCACCTCAGCACTGGGACCTGACTATTAGCACATGGAGAACCAGCCCCATGCTGCCCCCTCACAAATATGACCAGCAACCGGGCAGTGACCTCTCCTGGGAGGTCTGAGCATCAGTTCTTTAGGGCCTGCCTCTCTTCTGAGTTCTCAGGTCTGGAGATCTGTCCTAGGATATGGCAGCTGCTTTCTAAAATCATTACCCCAGTGTTTCATTTTTCTAGCCCTCTAATCCCTATGTAATAAATTTCTTATATTAAATCCTTTCAGTTAAAATACTGTTTTTCTCACTAGGCCGTTTCTTCTCTCGGACCCCTGAGAAATTCTACAACTTTAGCCACCAGCTTCCTGGCAGGCTAAATTAGATGCTAATTTTTTGATAAGGGAACCCAAAAATGCTGAAACAACTATGACACAGTGAAAATGACTATGTTCTACCCCACTAAAATATGGAGCTATAACTTGGATTTGGAATATTTTAATGGTTGGCCATCACAAAAAAAATGACAATTCAAATAAACTTTTAATATGAAAATATAAGATGATTGGATATATTATTTAATAGTGCATTCTAAAAGTATAGTTAAGTATTTGAGTAATGTTCAGGACTGAGAGACGAAACTAAGAGAAAAATTAATGGAGGTTCCTAACAAATTTTACACAGAAGGATACACTGAAAATTGAACATAAATGGAAACAACTAAAATGGTGAGGGTCTTACCATTATCCTATCACAGTCAATAATGGTGCTCAACCTGTGGGTAATGGTCAGCACAGTGCACTGGGCAAATCTCTCACGAATGTTTTTTTGTATTAACTCATCAGTTCTAGAAACAAAGAAGTTGATTTAGTTCAGTAAAGACAGGAAAAGCAGACTTAAGACTTAAAAATATCCTATGATATTTTTACAATGTTTTTAAAAATCAGTACTTTAACATATAGTCTTGATCCTAAAAAACTAAGTATAAAATGTCTACTTAGAATTTTATTATTTTTCATAAAGTGATGGAAAATTAGTCCTCCCTCAAAATTGCTTGAAACTCTCAGGAGCTGAATTTAGGAATTTAGCTCTCTTAGGATGCCTCATAACAATATTAACACAATAAAACATGTCTTGGCTTTTTCCTTTGTTTTCTGGAATTAATATTATCAACAGATATTCATGAGGCCAAGAGGGCACTTAGAAACATTTCGAAGATTCACTAAATGTTTTCCATTTACCACATTTACAAGTCAGTTTAAGATTTCCTGGGGCTCAGCTCCATACCTTGGATCCACGTATGATGTGGCTTTGTCAATAATCAATATCTGATTTTTCCTGAGAATAGCCCTGGCAAGGCACACCAGTTGTTTCTGACCAACACTCAAGTTCAATCCAGATTCTGCTAATTCAGTATTCATTTTAGCAGGAAGAACTTCGATGGATTTTTTAAGTTGTACCTGTGGATACAGAAAGAATGACATTTTTCTAAGCAAACTGCTACTAAAGTAGACGAGCCTCTTAGACACTAGAGCTTTGACATCTCAGGACTTCTTACATATCTTACATGTACAGCCAGGTGATGGGGATAGCTCCTTCCAATGAGTGTTCACTGAGAAAGATGGTGGAGTCAACTCAGGACAGAAAGATCTCAGTGTCCCCCAACCCACCACAGCACATCCACCAGAAGCCCCACACAGGGGTTAGTTAAGGAAGTCTCTCAAAAAGTGAAGCTATGTCTCCCCAAATGATTGAAACAGAAAAGTTAAAAGGATCTTTATGGTTGAGTCAAGTTTCCCAAATTACATTTTGCATAGGAGTTGGTATGCTAGAGAAAAGCTTTCAAAAATTTTTACAACTGGAGCCCATTATACAGAGTGAAGTAAGCCAGAAAGATAAACACCAATGCAGTATACTAACGCATATATATGTAATTTAGAAAGATGGTAACGATAACCCTATATGTAAGACAGAAAAAGAGACACAGATGTATAGAACAGACTTCTGGACTCTATGGGAGAAGGCGAGGGTGGGATGATCTGAGAGAACAGCATCAAAACATATATATTATCAAGTGTGAAACAGATTGCCAGTCCAGGTTGGATGCATGAGACAAGTGCTCAGGGCTGGTGCACTGGGATGACCCAGAGGGATGGCATGGGGAAGGAGGTGGGAGGGGGGTTTAGGATGGGGAACACATGTAAATCCATGGCTGATTCATGTCAATGTATGGCAAAAACCACTACAATATTGTAAAGTAATTAGCCTCCAACTAATAAAAATAAACCAAAAAAAATTTTTTTTAATTTTACAGAAAATCTGGTTCTCTGAAGAAATAATCTTATTGGCTCTATACTATTTTCTAAAGTTTAATATATGCAAGTTCAAACAAGGTCAAACTGCCCCATATACATTAGTAATCCTGGAGCCCATTCTGATGATAGTTCTTTCCCAAGTTTAATGCTATAAATAGTGGACCAGTCAAGTGCATTTTCTTCAGTGTCATAAATGCACTGTAGTGAATGAAAACACATGAAAAATAAAACAAAACATCTTATCTCCCCCAGCATATGGATATAGGTTGTTGTTGTTCAGTCGCTGAGTTGTGTCCAACACTTTGCAACCCCATGGATAGCGGCCCACCAGGGTTCCTTGTCCTTCACTATTTCTTGGAGTTTGCTCAAACTCATGTCTGTTAAATGGGTGATGCCATCCAACCATCTGTCCTATTTCATACCCTTCTCCACCTGCCTTCCATCTTTCCCAACATCAGGGTCTTTTCCAATGAGTCGTCTCTTCACATAGGGTAGCCAAAGTATTGGAGCTTCAGCTTCATCATCAGTCCTTCCATGGAAAATTCAGGGTTGATTTCCCTGAGGATAGACTGGTTTGATCTTGCTCTCCAAGGGACTCTCAACAATCTTCTCCAGAACCACAGTTCAAAAGCATCAGTTCTTCAGTGCTCAGCCTTCTTTATGGTCTAACTCTCACACTGGTACATGGCTACTGGGAAAACCATAGGTTTGACTACATGGACTTTGTTGGCAAAGAAATATCTCTGTTTTTTAATATTCTGTCTAGGTTTGTTATAGCTTCTCTTCTCTATAGCAAGCATCCTTTAATTTCATGGCTGCAGTCATTGTCACCATCTGCAGTGATTTTGGAGCCCAAGAAAATAAAGTCTGTCATTGTTTGCATTGTTTCCCCATCTATTGCAATGAAGTGATAAGACAGGATGCCATGATCTTAGCTTCTTGAATGTTGAGTTTTAAGCCAGCTTTTTCATTCTCCTCTTTCACTTTTATCAAGACGCTCTTTTTCCTCTTCACTTTCTACTACTAGGGTGGTGTGAGATGCATATCTGACATTATTGATATTTCTCCAAGCAAACTTGATGCCAGCTTGTGCTTCATCCAGCCTGACATTTCGCATGATGTACACTGCATTTAAGTCAAATAAGCAAGGTGACAATATATAGCCTTGAGGTACTCCTTTCCCAATTTGGAACCAGTCCAAATTGTTGCTTTGGAACCAGTTGTTCCATGACTGGTTCTAACTGTTGCTTCTTGACCTGCATACAGATTTCTCAGGAGGCAGGTAACATGGTCTGGTATTCCTATTTCTTTAAGAATTTTCCACAGTTTGTTGTGATCCACACAGCCAAAGGCTTTAGTGTAGTCAATGAAGCAGATGTTTTTCTGGAATTCTCTTCCTTTTTCGATGATCCAATGGATGTTGGCAATTTTATCTACAGTTCTTCTGGCTTTTCTAAATTCAGTTTGTACCTTTGAAAGTTCTTGGTTCATGTACTGTTGAAGCCTAGCGTGAAGGATTTTGAGCATTACCTTGCTAGCATGTGAAATGAGTACAATTGTGTAGTAATTTGAACATCCTTTGGCACTGTCCTTCTTTGTGATTGGAATGAAGACTGACCTTTTCCAGCCCTGTGACCACTGCTGAGTCCTCCAAATTTGCTGGCATATTGACTGCAGTGCTTTCACAGCATCATCTTTTAGGATTTGAAATAGATCAGCTGGAATTCCATCACCTTCACTAGCTTTGCTCATCATGATGCTTCCCAAGGCCCACTTGACTTCACACTCCAGGATGCCTGTCTCTGAGTGAGTGATCATACCATTGTGGCTATTTGTGTCATTAAGATCTTTTTTTTATAGCTCTTCCATGTATTCTTGCCACCTCTTCTTAATATCTTCTGCTTCTGTTAGGTCTACACCATTTCTGTCCTTTATTGTGCCCATCCTTGCAGGAAATGTTGCCTTGATATCGCTGATTTTCTTGAAGAGATCTCTAGTCTTTCTTTTCTACTGTTTTCCTTATCTATTTGCATTGATCACTTAGGAAGGCTTTCTTATCTCTCTGTGCTATTCTTTGGAATTCTGCAGTGAGATGGGTATATCTTTCCTTTTCTCCTTTGCCTTTTGCTTCTCTTTTCTCAGCTATTTGTAAGGCCTTCTCAGACAACCATTTTGCCTTTTTGCATTTCTCCTTCTTGGGGATGGTTTTGTTCACCACCTCCTGTAGAGTGTTACAAGCCTCTGTCCATAGATCTTCAGGCACTCTTTCTATCAGAACTAATCCCTTGAATCTACTTGTCACTTCCACTGTAAAATTTGTAAGGGATTTTTTTTTTTAGGTCATATCAGAATAGCTTGTGATTTTCCCTACTTTCTTCAATTTAAGCTTGAATTTTGTAATAAGCAGTTCATGATCTGAGTCATAGGCAGCTCCCGGTTTTGTTTTTGCTGACTGTATAGGACTTCTCCATCTTCAGCTGCAAAGAATATAATCAATCTAATTTCAGTATTGACCATCTGCTGATGTCCATGTGTAGAGTCGTATCTTCTGTTGCTGGAAGAGGGTGTTTGCTATGACAGCTTGGTCTCTTGGCAAAACTCTGTTAGCCTTTGCCCTGTTTCATTTTGTACTTCAAGGCCAAACTTGCCTGTTACTTCAGGTATCTCTTGACTTCCTACTTTTGCATTTCAGTTCCCTATGATGAAGAAAACATCTTTTTTTGGTGTTAGTTCTAGAAGGTCTTGTAGGTCTTCACTGAACAGCTCAACTTAAGCTTTTTTGGCACTAGTGCTTGGGGCATAGACTTGGATTACTGTGATACTGAATGGTTTCCCTTGGAAATGAACCGAGATCATTCTGTTATTTTTGACATTGCACCCAAGCACTGCATTTTGGACTCTTTTGTTGACTATTTTTTTCTTTTTTGCAGCCAAACAAGAATAAACTGGAGACTTGAAGCCAAGCAGCATGGGCATAAGTCTTGCCTGGCTGTGCTGGGCAAGGAACTGGGCAAGTTCCTGAACCTACTCTACCTTAGCTTTCTAAACTCTAAGTAAGACTATAATATCATAATTATAAAGGTGTGTACATCCTAACATAGTGAAGAATATTAAATGAGTCAGTACATGCAGAATTTGTGACAGATCAATAGATATTGCCCATTACTAATAATGCTATCGGCTTGCCCGGCATCATGTATTGCTTCACTTTTCTCCTTTGCATGTATCAGCACTGAGATTTCATTACATATGCATTGGCTTGCTTTTCAGCTTCTCAGGAGAACTTAAGCTCTAAAAGGACTGACATTTTGTCTCTTGATGACTGTGACAGCCCCAGAATCTGCAACATTGCCTGACAAGCTCTCAGTAAATATCTGTTGGCTGGATGAAGGTGGGCTTCCCTGGTGCCTCAGTGGTAAAGAATCCACCTGCCAAGCAGGAGACTTGGGTTTGATCCTGGGTGAGATCCCCTGGCTAAGGAAATTGCAACCCACTCCAGTATTCTTCACTGAGAAATCCCATGGACAGAGGAGCATGGCGGACTACAGTTCATGGGGTTGCAGAAGAGTCAGACATGACAAACAGCAACAACATGAATGAAGGTATAAATGACTCTAATTGCATGACATATCTGTTTCTGTAAATTAGAAACTAAATTCATATGGATAAATAATTTATATATAACACTGTTTTCTTATTAAGAGTAATTGTAAAAAGGATATGTTCTTATAACAATTAACTGACTTCAAGATATCATATCACACTTTAAACAAAGGAAAGCACTGAAAAAGATATAATTAAAGGAAAATAGAACATATAATAACTATTCAAAACTATACGTCTCAGTATATACCTCAGATTATTTTTGAGCTTGGGAAAATAATAGAATATAGCAAAACTGAAAAATAATAAACAGGGCTTATAAGGCCCCCGTTTCTATCATCACTGTGTGCACTATGTGTAGTAGGTGCTGATGCCCCTCACAGGAGGTGAACACAGATGTCAGGTGGTTTCCAAATTTTGTGGAACTTTCTTACTTTTCAAAAAGAAAATCTGGTGTGGGCCATGAGGAGACAGTGAAATGCAATCAACATATGGGGAAGAGCTTTTACTAGAGCAAAGCCAGCAATAAAGGAAGTTCACCTAACACAAGGCACAGGGAAATGGACATGTGACCTGTCTCCACCGCAAGGACTGAACCACGTGGTTCCTGATGCAGAGGCTGCTGACGCCCAGGTTTCTGTGTCTTGGTTTCCTGTGTGATGAGACACAGTTGTGTCCTAACAAAGACACTATCAAAGTTGGACATTTAACTGCACAGTCTCTTCCCAGTTTTGACAGGACATTTTTGTTATTGTTTAGTTGCTAAGTCGTGGACCTTACAGACTGTAGCCCACCAGGTTCCTCTGTCCATGGGATTTCCCAAGCAACAATATTGGAGTGGGTCACCATTTCCTCCTCCAGGGAATCTTCCCAACTCAAGTATCAATCCCACTTCTCCCCCATTGCAGGCAGACTCTTTATCACTGAGCAACAGGGGAAGCCCCCATACAATACTCTTAATTCCAAATCCCAGTATCTAAGGTGTTTTGTTTTTTCTTTTTAATGCAAGCAACATATCAATGATTCATTTCCAGAGTTTTATCTACTGTGATCTTTTAACCTCTGAGTGATAAAGTGCTTCATCCTCAGGCACTACTCATGTTATAATTTTGGAACTGCCTTTGCTTTTTAGCACCCCAATCAGCACTAATTTCTGATGAACTTTTATCAGCTTACAGTAAGTTGGCAAGTTTTCGTACATGAAAAATATATTTTCAGCATATTTAGAAAAATAATCAAGATGAGACAGGAAGTATCCATAGGACTGTTTTCCTTCTGAATGTCCATCTCTGCCAAGGAAGAAGGAAGAAACTTGATTTAGTGATACCTCTTGATGAGGGTGAAGGAAGAGAGTGAAAAAGCCAGATTAAAACTCAACATTAAGAAAACTAAGATCATGGCATTCAGTCCCATCATCTCATGGCAAATAGAAGGGGAAAAGGTAAAAGTAGTGACAGATTTCCTCTTCTTGGACTGTAAAGTCAGTGCAGATGGTGACTGTAGCCTTGAAATTAGAAGATGATTGCTTCTTGGCAGGAAAACTATGACAAAACTAGACAGTGTGTTAAAAAGCAAAGATATCACTTTGCTGACAAAGGTCCATATAATCAAACCTATGGTCTTTCCAGTAGTCATGTACAGATGGGAAAGCTGGACAATAAGAGTGCTGAAGAATCAATGGTTTTGCACTGTGGTACTGGAGAACATTATTGAGAGTCCCTTGGAAAACAAAGAGATCAAATTAGTCAATCTTAAAGGAAATCAAGCCTGAATATTCTTTGGAAGGACTGATGCTGAAGCTGAAGCTCCAATACTTTGGCCGCCTGATGCAAACAATTGACTCACTGGAAAAGACCCTGATGCTGTTAAAGATTGAAGACAGAAGGAGAAGAGGGAGACAGAGGATGAGATGGTTGGATGGCATCATCAATTCAATGGACATGAACTTGGGCAAACTCCAGGAGATGGTAAGGGATAGGGAAGCCTGGTGTGCTGTAGTCCATGGGGTCACAAAGAGTGACTTAGCAACTGAACAATAACTTAGAGTGATAAATCACCTTTATTCAGATTCTTTAGGAATTATTTCTTTACCACATTTGTATGTTTTTCAATGAGTGATTTGGTAAGTTTTCTTTTAAAATAGTCATAAGAAATCAATTCCCAGAGAAACACAATGATGGGATGATTTCTCTAAGTGATACTGCCAAAGTTAACAGGGTTAATTCCAGAAGCAATACATAGACACCATACACTTCACTTTGCGAAATAAACTCACATTTCTTTCTTTTTGAAGAAAGTTCCAAATGTAGCTTAAATAGAAGTAGATCTTAGTATTATCTACCACTTCAGCATTTGTATAATTTAGATTAACATTGGCTCTCTGTCCATGGAACAATATGTTCTAAAATTCTAGAGTAATGCTACCTGAGAATCTGTGAAAAAAGATCTCCATCTGGGAAACAAATAGAAAAGTAATTTGCCAGTATTTCCAGTTATTTTTTTAACATGTGTCCCAATTTCACCATTAAATTTGTCCTATGAATTCAAGAGTACTGGCTCATCCTTTCGTTCTTTACATTTAATTTTTAACTTCTCTATGCACCTCTTCTCTTGTAGAATTTTACTGTAAAAGATTCACAAACTTAAATGAAAGCAGAGGTGCACTGCTTTTCAGGCAGGAGAAGGTGAAACAATCGACCCAATTTAAGAAAACAAAATCCACATGCTGCTGAAAAGTAGGGTGAGTGTATAAAGACTCAGTGGTGACATCTTTCAGAAACCAGAATTACTGGCTGGAAATGGTCATATCTCCAAATCTGCCTGCTCACAGTCAAGGCTCATCTGTATATTACAGATTTCAGAGCTTCCCTGGAAGGATAACATGAAATGACAAACACACCAATTCAAACCAATGTGAACAATCAGTCTCTCAGATTTGTGTAACAACAAGAACAACAAAAGATTAAAAAAATATGCCACACTTCTCTGAAATGAAAAGATCAATCAAACATTTAATAGTTATTTAGGTAGAGTATTTTCCCTGTGTTTTCCTCTAAGAGGAATATAGTATCTGGTCTTACATTTAGATTTTCAATCCACTTTGAGTTTATTTTTTGTATATGGTATTAGGGAATGTTCTAATTTTATTCTTTTACACATAGCTGTCCAATTTTCCCAGCACCACTTACTGAAGAGACCACCTCTTCTCCATTGTATATTCTTTCCTCCTTTGTCATAGATTAGGTGACCACAGGTATGTGAGTTCATCTCTGGGCTTTCCAACCTGTTCCATTGATCTAATTTCTGTTTTTGTGTCAGTGCCATACCATGTTGATTACTCTGGTTCTGTACTGAACTGGCCAAAAAGTTCATTTAAGTTTTCCCATAAAATCTTTTGTAATAAATATTTTGGCCAACTCAATAATATATTCAGAAGTCAGGGAACCTAATTTCTCCAGCTTCATTTTTCTTTCTTAAGACTGCTTTGCATATAGGATTATCGTTACCATCTTTCTAAATTCCATATATATGTGTTAGTATACTGTAATGGTCTTTATCTTTCTGGCTTACTTCGCTCTGTATAATGGGCTCCAGTTTCATCCATCTCATTAGAACTGAT